GTATTGTTCACCTTTGCTCCAAGGTTCCTGTGGCGTTTTTCCGTGGTGTTTCTGCTCCCTCACTTGGTCTTGCCATTTGGTCTTGCCCAAGCTGTTGGCTCCCCACTTTCAAGCTGGCAGATTCAAAAATACGCAATTTCTTACTTCAGTTTCAAGTTCCACTAGCTATAAGCCTTCAAACTTTTAAAATATTCCTAGCTCTGTAGTTCCGAGTTATGGAGCCCTGCTCTGGATCTGCTTTGCCTGGTATTCTGTGTTATTGCTGACGGCAAACTTCACTGCACCTCTTCCACCCTAGCCACCATCAAGCCCCACCCTCCCTCATAAGCCTTATTTGCAAACTATGGATTAGCCTTCCTCAATGGTTTACAGGCCTCAGAAATGTTAGATCCAGGATAAAAATACTTTGTGGGGAAATACTTGCATATTGATTTTACTTATTAAAAATAAATAATAATCAGTTTTAAAAAGCATATGATATTTTTGTTAAAGAGCAAATCAAGAATAAAGGTTGATTTTAAACAAAATTAAGTGAGAATAAATAGGGTTGGAGTAACTAATACAAAAAACAGACATAATATCCATTGTCTATCTTGACATAAGATAGACAATATCACATAAGACTGTTCAGTATATTTCATGGGTGTATTGCATAACGTAACACTTTTTCAAATGGACACTTGTAAAAAACTATAACTTTCTATCATGTATTGTGGGTTAATGTGCTGTACTGCAAAGTTGGTTAGAACCACAAGTTTGGCAGTTCAAGCTCACCAGCCGCTCCTTGGAAACCTTGTACAGGGTTGCCATGAATTGGAACTGACTCAACAGTACTTATCAACAACATCAATGATGTAAATATGATTAAGTAGTAGCTTACTTTTATCTTTCGAAATTTACCTTTGAGTTATTGTTTATGAATACTCAAATTAAGTTGAGATCTCAGGACTTATGAAACTTTTTCTAGCACAGATTATAGGAAGGAAGGGATGTAGGTTTAGTTGAGTCTTCATTGTCATTCAGATATCAATCAGCCTACCTATTGCCAGTTCAAAGAATCATTTAATGCCCACATATCTAATAACTTTCTATCATATTCCCTTACTTTAATACTTTGGATATTACTTTTCTCTCAGTATATTTCTTATTTATTTTGTTTTCTTCTCCTCATGACCACAGTTGCCTTAACACATATATTTTTATAGGAGTGTCGTGTCTTCATACGACAAGTACAAAACTGCAAACCACAAGGTCAACAGTTCAAGCCCACCAGCCTACTCATAAAAGATAGGTTTTCTGCTACCATGAAGATTCAAAGTTGCATACACCTTATACAGGGTCCCTGTGAGTAGGAACCAACTCGATGACACTGAACAGCAACAATATACAGTTATGGATTGGATTCTATCCCCTTAAAAAGATATGCCAAAGTCCTAGCCCTGTGAATGTTACTTTTGTTTAGAAATAGGACCATTGAAGATGATATAAATTACGTTAACATGGAGTCAAATTGGAGTAGACTGAATCCAAATTCTATAGGATTGGTGTCCTTAGAAAAGAGGAGAAAGTACTCAGAGACAGACAGAAGAAGCATGACCATGTTAGAATAGAGGCAGAGGCAACTATAAGCCAAAGAATTCCAAGGCTTGTCCAGAACCACAAGAAGCTAAGAGAAAGGCATGGGACAATTTTTCTTCTAGAATCTTCAGAATGAATCAATATGGCAATACTCTGATTTGAACTTCTAGTCACCAGATAATGTTAGACAATACATTTCTATTCATTGAAGTCACTCATTCTATGGTATTTTGTTATGACCGCTCTAGAAAACTGACATATACACACATACCATCACTTTCTCTCTCTCTCTCACACATCATCGTCATCTCTAAGTAAACTCATTCACTGAATCACTTCTAGCACCTAGAACAAGGCCCCTTTTTCACATTTAACAAACCCTCCCCTTTGTTTCATCTTAATGATTACAACATCTTCATGCAACAACAGTTGTCCCACTTGCGCCCTATGGTCCTTGTTTCCATTCCACTCTCTTTCCCCTCCCTTCTCGACTTTGTCCTTAGGTAAATCTTGTAGAACAAGGCCTTTTTTGATTGAAAAACATATTTCTTTTTGAAACTCTGTTTTCCCCCCATACATTCTCTCTGTTCTTACCTTGTGAAACTCCCATTAAATAGATATTGGATCTGTGATTGTGTTTCTATTTACTCTAGACTGGACCAAATAATTTTGTATCAGTTATAAGCTATGCAGTCCAATTCATTTTCTAGCATGTGGACTCACCCCATTCTGATTTCATTCAGCATTGCAGTCTGAGGTCAAATGCCTCTGCTGCCTAGTGACTGAAACTGAGAAGAGCAGAAATGCTGGCCCAGGTGTTATTCCAAATGTTGCTCCTGTGCTTACATCTCTTTCTAGAGTCTTTCGGCTGTGTGCTTGGCCCACCCACAACTCAGTACTCTCCCCAGTCTTATGTGCATTTTGGGCTATAATTTCCATGACCAATCTGATCTCATCTGCTTCCTAACTTCATGGATTCCTTTGAAATTTTCATAATAGTTAATTTTTTTTCTATACCTCACAAATGTACCATTTTTGATCAGTTGCTGGTATGTTTGAGCAGATTAAGTTTTGTAGACCTCCTTCTACGACAAAAAAAGCACCAAAGAGCAGCCTTGTAAACTTGCTCTAAGAAATGTATATAGGTACCACCTAAACATCTTAACACCTATGCACCTAAAGAGCTCTGTTAGTGCAGTGGTTGCAAGTTCGGCTGCTAACTTCAAGGTCAGCAGTTCAAAACTACCAGCTGTTCTGTGAGAGAAAGATGAGGCTTTCAGCTCCTGTAAAGATTTACAGCCTCAGAAGTCCTATACTGGGTTGTCATGAGTCAGAACAAACTCCACAGCACATAATAACCATGAACCAAGCAATTTACGAAGTTCTGGTATGGTGCTTTGGGTTAATGTGCTGGACTACAAGGTTGGTTTGAACTGCAACCTCATTAGCTGCTCCTCAAAGCCCTATATAGGGTAACTATGAGTCAGAAGTGACTTGAAGATACTTGAGAAGAACAAAGCACCTTACTACAGCATTCTTTTGAGGTCTTCCCTAAACTTCACTTTACCATTAGGAACTCACAGTACTTGAAATCAGTGTCTAAGTCATTTATACCAGTAGACCACCTAGATGACAGCATGTTGCCAACAGAATTCCCAAAGGTTTATCTGAGGAACTAGATAGAGATTTACAGGGGAAGAAAGTGCCAATACATCTGAATTTAACCATTATCTCAATTAACTCCAAAGCTAGAAAGGCTTCATTTCTCTAAAGAAAATCAAACATTTGAAAAACTTGAATATCCAACCAGACAAATTTCATTTACCTCCCCAGACGACCACACTACTTGTCCACTAACAAGAGTTTAGGAGGATTGTATATTTTAATGGATAAGCTTGGCACAAGATAACTACAAAAAAACAGAAAGCAAGATAAATAAAACTGGAGTATAATTGAACAAGCGAGCCATGTGTACATACAAACTCATTCAATCTTATTTGAAGTAATATTTTATATGAATTTGATTCGAGTACTATTATCTGTATTTAAAAACTAGACACATACATTGAATTGAGAGGAGGAATTGATCAGGAATTCAAATTTTGTTTCAGGTTTTCATTAATGATCTGCAAGAAGAGTTAACAGTCTGTTGATGAACGTTGTGGATGCTACTAAATTGATAGTCATTGCAAAAGACAGTGAGAAACAACATAAAAGAAAATGTTAGAGGTTAAATATTTGGCATGAATTAACAGTGAGGTTCACTCTAGTAATATGGAAGGTCATTCAGAACGTACATTTTAAATGAGCTCTCTTTCCAAATAGCTCAAAATGTTTATGAGTGTTACTATTACTACCTCATACTTACTGGGAAGCAAAACACTTCAGGGTACTAGGCAGAATACAGAGTTAGGATCATGAAAAATCAAAGATAAGAACACCAAATACAGAAGGAAGAGAAAAAAAGTTCAAGGGGATGAGAGAGGAAGCAAGTATTTGCGTGTGATTTTATTTCATTAAAAAAGTTGAGGTGTGCATTATTTGGAAGGAAATTCCAGTTATCTTCTGGACCATAGCAGAGTTACAAAAGATGGGAGAAAAAACAGAATTACTAGTTTAACTTCAGTTTACTTTGTTTTGTTTAATTGATAGGAGAAAAAAGATGTTCTCTCAATATCATTGGAAGAAATTACACAGTGATCCCAATCATGGGAAAGATCATTTTATTCAGGATAAAGAAAGAAAGGACTTATACAGAATTTAGAAAAAAAATTGTAACTGTCTATGTATCACTGGAAACATAGCTTGAACATTATATTTCATTACATTTTATACTTGTTTTCAATAACATCATACTTTACCAAAGTCACTCAAAACTTCTATCTACTTTGTACAAGAGGTCTTCAAAAGGTTTGTAGGAAAATGGAACTAAAAGGCAATATAATATAATATATATTTTTATTAAATACACACAATGTAATAGATGCTTTGCTATGCTATGGCAAATATAAACAAATAAAATAAACTATTTACTTCCAATATATTCAAAATCTAACTAGTGTAATAAATGTCATATGTCCAAAATAGAAAAAATATATATATGCTTTCAGAGTAGAGAGAAGAAAAGAAAAGGGAGTTAGCATGCTTTTTCTTTTATTTTATTTTCTTTTTTTATTTGAGTTTTTATTGTGAATTGGGTGATAGTTTACATGGGAGAACATTAGCTTTACATTCATCCTATTGTATTTCATTGCAATGATTACAATCCCCTCCATGCATCATCATTCAACAGCATTTGCTTCTATTCCTTCTTTTTTTTTCTTTTTTGACCCACACTTGCAGATAACACTCATTTGACCTGGCTTCAATGGCTCAATAATCAGAACTTGACTAAAGGAAGAAAGAAGAGGAAAAAAGAGTAATCCACTACAAGTTGATGAACTTGACCTACACCTATGGATGCAGTAGCTCAAAAGAGGGAACAAATCTTTACAGCGAAGATCATTCCCACCCCCTCGATACACAGGGTTGACAGAGATGGGCAACTTAGACATTGGTTACTCAAAATGGGGGAGCTACAAAGGCAAGAAGTGCCTGGCTTATAAGCTTTCAAGAGCTGGGCTAGTTCCAGAGGGTATGGGGGAAGGTAGAATCTCCACTGAGTGGTTTCCAATCTGTCTGGACAGGGCTGGTTAAAGAACATGAGGATAAGACTCTTGTGGTTCAATAGTGAATAATTGTGATCAGGACTGATTGTGAGTGTTGCAAATGTAAAGGTAGATGCTTTGTAACAAAAGGAAGGGCGTGGTTGATCTTGCAGTACAGGAGCGGAAAACATTGGGACCATCAAGGGAGAAGAGGGGAGTGCAGGCCCCTATCCAGAGAAGCAGTGATACCAGACATGGAGGCAGAGATGATGACGTGGAGAGATGGAGCAGTTGGGGACCCTGGACTCAGGGAGGGAGAGAGGCTGTGTGCTAAAGGCGGGGGGTGGGGGACAGGCTTGTGGGGTGTGCCCTTTTGTTGTTTAAATGGTTGTATATTCCTGAGTGCTTTGGTGTACATTCTTTTTCTTTTCTAACAAAGGAGGCTGTATTTATGCTGATCACGGAAATATATATACAGAAAAAATGAAAATTAAGAGGGAGATGAAGAAAGACACAAGTTAAAAGAAATGGTGAATGAAGGCAAAGAAGAGTGTAGATGAATTTAGTAATGTGCATGGTCTTAGAAGACTTGGCAATTAGTGTAGAAAAGGCACTGCATTCATAGAAAGACAGTGAGAAAACTGATGTACATTCTACATACTTTTGAAGAGCCTTGAAAACCACACAAAGGGGTGACTCCATAAATGTATTTATAGTGAGAATAGAGTTTATTTAAGCAGAGGAATGATACAGTCACATTAATACTTTACAAAGGAAATAGTTTTCATAATGCAGGTTGAATTTGAGACAGAAGTAACTGGAAACATTTGGAAAAAACTGTAAAGGAGAACCATTTAAAATGTATTACAGTATACAAACTTTAATGAACCCTCCTCTTCCTAGTGATTACTTACAAGCAATGTTCTAATGAACTTTGTTCAAAATTTTAGGGCTATCTGTGCTGTTCCTCTTAATTTCAGAGTTAGTAAATCAATTCTCTCCATTTTCCCATTTATTTACCACATACATTTCCCATTTAATTTCCTCTTTAGTTTTCTCTTGCTAGATATTCAATCAATTAATAATTCTTTTCTGGATTCTTCCAGGAACTTCCAAACTGTTTTATTTTACTTTTCGAACTTCCTTTTTTCCCCAAACTGGGTAATGTCATGATTCATTCATACAGTCATTCAAAAATATTTCTTGGGAATTCACCACACCAAAACCTGAAAGGACACTAAACCCTGAAAGGAACAGCAGAAATCCTTGGCCTAAAAGAAACCCTAATGTAGGATTACAGGGAAGCAACAGCGTGTAAACTTCTGTGACGTCACGAAAGGGTGGAGTGTATATCTCATTCAGGGATAAGAATAGCTTCCTGAAGAATGTGATGCCAAGTGAATCCATGCAGAGCAATAGTGTGACAATATCAATTTAGGAATGACAGGTTTTGTAATCATGAGTACAAAATGGTATTTAAAAGTCTTGGTTGTAAATGAAGCCTCCCAGAGAAAGTATGCGAAACTAAAACTGCCTGTTGTTTGACAAGGTGCCATGAGTATACCAAAATAAAGAGTATGGATAGAAGAAAAAACCTTGAAAAAATAAGCTTGAGGTTCTTAAAATAAAATAATGATTAAATTAAGTGTATTTAACTTTGTATGTATCTTAGAAAAAAGAGAAAGAAAATGCATCAGCAAACTCATCAGCTGCTCCTCAGAAACCCTATCAAGGGTTACTGAGTCCAAACCGACTCGACAGCACTTAACAACAACAACAATCTTATAGGTGGGAGCGCAGTGGCTCCATTCAAGGGAAGGTCTGAAGCCTCAGAAACTCTATATAGGGTCGCTGTCAGTTGGGACTGGCTCCACAGCACTTAACAACAGTCTTATACAATGGAGTCCTTGTCTGGTGCTATAGGATAAGGACTAGATTGCTAATAGCAAAGTTGGTAACTCAAGCCCACCAGCTGCTCCTAGGAAACCCTATGCAGGGTTGCTATGAGTTGGAACCCACTGATGGCACTCAACAACACAACAACAACAATCTTACAGGGTGGAAGCATGAAGTCAACAAACGATTAGGATAGAAATTTAAAAATACAATAGAAACCAGTATTTAGTGGTTAAAAGAAGGGAAAAAAAGATGACCTGAACATTAAGTTAAGAAAAGTTTACTACATTCCCAGGAAAATGAATAAAGATTCATTAACACCAACATATATGCTGGTAGTCTTCGGAAACTAAGGGTAAGGGAAAAAAAACAACTATATGAATCCCAGAATAAATTAGTGAAAAATAATTCCCAAGTTTGTCTCAGATTTCTCTTCAGAAATAGTATATAAAAAGCTCAAAAAGAAAAAGGAGAGGAAAAGAATCCTATGCCCATCAAAGTCATTGTTCACAGGTATAGATCTCAGCAAGATAGCCTCAACTACCCAAATTCTAAAAGTAAATCACCAGTCATGTTCCCTTTCTGGGAAATGGAAATACTCTTACCACGTAGAAATTAAGATAGTGGACAAAT